AGAGATGTTGTTATAGATAGGCCTGACCGTAGAAAATGGTCGTTATAGAAAAGTTTGATTGTACAGTCAGACCTCTCTATATTAGCATCCTTATATAACAACACTTCTCTATAAAAGCTAATTTTTTTCGGAAGCAAATCTCATGTTATATTATAATACATGTTTTCTATAACAGAAATTCGCTATAGCATCCAAAAATATTTGGAACACACGAGGCTATTATAAAAAGGTTTGACTGTATATAGATTTTAGCCGTTATAGAAAATGATCATGTATAAACATTGAATAAACATTGAATCTGACAGACTATTTTTTTAATTTAAGCGATTTGGTGGGTGGTTATTTAGGCTAATTCTTCAAAAACTTGGAAACACAAAGTTAAGCCAACTATAACTAAGAAGAGGTTTTGGAGATTACAAAGACAGAATTCAGAACCAAATCCCAACAAAGTCACTGGTAAAAACAAAGCAAAAACAACTCCACTGCTACTAAACTCCTCTATGGTTTTTGTTATTTTTTAGTTGTTGACCTATCCATTCCTTCCAAAAAAACAACTCTCCAAATATTTTCCAAACAACCATAGAAGAATGAGATTCCTTCATTAAAATAGAGGAACAAACATCAATATATATAGCTCATTTTCTTGATTTTTCCAACCATCTTCTTCACATCAAAAAATACCCCAAAAAAATGGAAGATTACAACTCCTCTATTCCAATGCAAAGAACAACCAAAATCATCAGAAAATCAATCTTTATTTTTCTGCAAAACTATCAATTCTTTACCACAACAGCAGTTTTTTTTGCCTTCCCTTTTGCTGCCTCATTTCTTTTACTACAATCATTCATCCCTTCTTCATCTTTCTTCCCAATAATCTATGAACGTTTGCATTTACTCTTTGATGCTGCTGGTTTCCCTTCTTCTTCTGAATTTTTCACCCTTTTAAATTCCAAGATTTCTCAAACCATAGCCATATCTTTTCTTGTTTTCCCTTTTACCATTTCATCTTTTCTTTTCAGTAAAGCTTCAGTAATTGAATCTCTCAATCACTCAAAACCAACCCAAAATCCTTCATTTTTTTCTTCCTTTTTCCCCCTTCTTCTTACCCAAATCTGTAACTCTTTACTCATCATTTCAGCAAATGCAACTTGTTTTACTGTCTTATTCTTTAGTTTCAATCTTGTTGATTATGGTTTTGGTCTTTCATCTCCAAGATTAATTCTTTTGTGTTCAGCAACTGGAGCTGTGATTTGTTCAATCATTCTTGCCAACACATTAATCATTTGTAACTTGGCTTTAGTAATATCAGGAACTGAAAAAATTGGAGGGTATATGGCAATTCTCAAATCTTGTATTTTAATTAGAGGAAGAACAGCTACAGCATTATCATTAGCTGTTCCTGTGAGTTTAGCTTTGGCTGCTGTTGAAGCTTTGTTTCAATACAGAATTGTGAGGGCTTATTATCAAGAAAAAACAGACTTTTTTTCTTTAGCTTTTGAAGGAATTTTCATTGCTTATATGTATTCAATTCTGCTGGTTCTTGATACCATAGTCAGCATTGTTTTCTACAGAAATTGTAAAACAGATGAAGTGAGAATTTTGCCAATTCAAGATAGAGATGAACATATAGTTCTGAAGATAAAGACGGCAGATTCTGTTTTCTGATTTATTGGATAATAAAAAGGTCTGCTATTTGAGGAGTAAATATGGTTTGATCAGAGGAAGAGATGAAGAAATTCTTGGGATTTTAAATGTATTTTTGTAATCTGCAGAATATACATTGATGTCAGGTTTACAACCCCATATTCTCTTTTTATTCTCTTTTTATGTAATGTAGCAGCTTTTCTGTATACAGTTAGAAGAAAATCCGGAAAAAGACTCTTTGTAAACTGTTTATATTTTGGATTTGCAATGAAAAGAGATAAAAAAAAAACGTGAATTTCTGAAATTAATTTGATTAATGTAAAGGCTTGCCGTCTAGTGTAACTTCTGGAATTGAAAAAGGACTTTTTTCCAAGCCCGAACAAGATCAAAAGAACTGATCTCTTTTTACAATAACAAAATAGTTATCTACTAACTATGTTTTCTTTCTGTGATAATACCGTAGCGTAGGACTCCAGAAATTTTAGAAGCTGAACATGCTCAAAAGATGCCTAAAGCTTTTAGCTTTGATCACTCGACGCCGAGTGAAACGGTTCCTCGCTACTCATCTCAAAAAATTACACTTTATAAGTAGGGTAAAAATTCTTCTCCTTTTTTTTTTTTTTTTTTTTTTTTT